CGATGGAAGGTGAAGGTAGTCAAGGAGACATATCTATAGTGTTGTGTTACGATGGAAGGTGAAGGTGGTCAAGGAGAGATATCTATAGTTGTGTTTTTCACAGTGGTGGTGGTAGCAAAGTTGATCAAACACCACCCTGGGGTATTCATGTACGCTGATGTCTAACAAGTTAGTTGCAAGTAATTGGCAAGAAACAGCAGATCCTAGAACTGTTAGCAAAAAATAAAATGGAACAGAAGCAAAATTAAGTGTTGAAATAAAATTCTTATTTATAAATAGATAGTGTATTTCTTGAAACACAGCCTGGAGCAAGAGTAATAATCATGCTGCATTAGTTTGAAGTCAGACTGAAACCATAATGCTGAATCTGATAATCCCAAGGTTCATGTATTAGTGATCGTTCCAATACAAGCCTCCAGTTCATACTAACTTGAACAGGTCTCTGTACCACTACCTGACTTGATTACAACTACACTTAGAGAAGTGGTAACATGGAAGCAAAATCAAACAAATATAAACTTTCTGAAGACCATTTTGGGACCTTTTTTTTTCTAAAGTAAAAGTTTAAGGAAACTTTTCACTTAATGTTCACAAGAATGGTAACTAATCTATATGCAAAACACTTTACTCAAATAAAGATTTTTTTCTAATTATGGAAGGGTAAAATATAAGTGTTCTCTGAACTGCAAAGTGTCACTTTTTTTCCCTGTTGTTTGAAGCAAATACATATTTAGTATTTCCAGCCTTATTTAGTTAGTAAAGTGAATTTTTTATACTCATGTAGAATTTTCATAACGTTTTGTGAATACAAATTTCCAGTTGTGTATGCAAATTTGATAATGTTGGTGAAGTGATGCAGTTCACATCCTTTTGTTCTTAGTAATTCCCATATGGGGTCAAATGCAGTCTCTCATGTGAAGGATTACTGTAAAGCAAAATATTCAGTTTGAAGGAAGACAATAATCTTTTCCACTGACAGGTCAAGTGGTACCTTGATGATTTTTTCCTTTTCTATTGGGTTGCATATATGCACTGAGAGTTAAGGAGTTACAGACCACTGTATTTAATGCTATATCCTATTAGTCTGGAACAAATCAATTGAAATTACAAGCTGCAGTCTGAAATGAAGCTAGACTTCCATTCAAAGTTCTAGCCATTGTTAGAGTGCACTCATCACACTATGTTTTAATCTAAAATAAAGATTACTTTTCAATATCTTTCTACATTGTTCTGGCTTATTTGCTTCAAATGTAGCCAGAGTCAGAGAATTTGGATATAACTAATTATAAATATTTTATAAAATCTCAAATTATTTGATGTTACTGCCAAGTTTGAACAAAGTTGAGACTCTGAGGTTCTTATGAGTTAGGTGAAGTAGACTTCTTCCCCTGATGTTCAAGGAATATCGTTTTTAACTTTTCAAGCAAGTAACTACTCGGAGTGGCTAGACTTAAGGAAAGACAATGTAATGTCTGATGTTAAGTTTGGATGGCTTAGCACTTGATAGAGGAGCTACTTTGAGATTGGGATACAGTTATGGCTGACATTTCAACCCAGTGGAGGGATGACCTATTCATTAGGCCGACTTCAAGGATCAAAAGAAGGGACCCATGGAGAACTTGACCACTTACAGTGATGATTTGCAATGTCTATATAGGAAGACGTATCCCACTATGGCTTTGGCAGATTTTGAGAATGACCTCTCGGAAAAATTTGTAGAGGGACTGTCAAATGAGATGATGTAGCATCACTCGATTTTGAGAGTTACTCTTATCCTAGTGGAGCCAGTATATATGTATAGCACCTAGGTTTGAATTGGTAACTTCTAGCAGGTTGCAAAAGAGGACAAAGTCTGTTGTGGCTTTCCGTCGTCCACACTTCTCCTAAGGCAACTGTATTGTGCCGAGCTTGTGTTTCTTAACTAGCCATTGACACATCCACATGCTGCAACACAGCACTGCTGGTTTCCAGTGAGTGGGCAGGGCTTCCCTTGATTTTGTGCCACATAAAAATGCCAATGATTCCTCTACCTAGATGCTGCTCTGAAAAGGAGAACTAAAGCATATGTATTATGTGTAGGCTAATAGGTCAGGTCACCTTAGAGTGAACTGCCCATAGGCTAGACAACCAGTGGCACATCAGGAGTGTTGCTGGCAAGTCATGACAGGCTCCAAATCTAATATAGCCAAAATCAGGTTTGGATATTGAAATAGGAGGTAAATGGGAGTTTGCAGTAGTCAGCTTGCATCCAAAGGTTTGATGTTCAGCCCAACTCTTTCAGGCCCAAATGGTGCTTGATATTTGCCAATAAAAGGATGTGGGTGAGTTCCTAGTTGATATAAGGACAGTGGTTGGCCTTGTTATATATCTGGTAATCTCAATGAAGTCATCACTCTGGCCAGTCAATATTGATTTTGTTCTGATGAATTTGTGATCCACCAGATTATGTGAATGTAAAGGTACATATTCAACTAAAACTAGATAACCTCCCCAACAGGATGAAAGTAGTTGTATCTTATCTTGATTCTAGTATTGAGATCTTGGGGTGGACCTGTTGTGGATATTGTCAGTCAATTTTGCCAGCACAATTGGTAAAGTGTTTTTATCAGAAACATCATCTGATACCTACGATATCAGTCCCAAGAACAGTGGACTGCGCATGTGTATAATGAGGAAGAATTCACAGTACTTCTGAATACACAAGTGGTGTTTCATGTTATACTATTTGTAAAGCCTAGTGCATTGTTGCTGTGTAATGCAGTGATGGAAAAAATAAATGATGTTTATTGTACAGAAAGAAAGCAACATTAACTTGAACAGTTATTTGTCTGAAAGCTAATATAGTTTTATTATTATGAACATTTGGCTATTTATGTATCTGCTGGCATAGTGAGCAAAATGGAGTTAACCAAGCTAGTGGTACCTCTGGTGTTGCACCATGTCTGAGGGTGCATACATGGCTACCAGCACAAGCCGAGGATCCTGCTGGCATAGTGAGCAAAATGGAGTTAACCAAGCTAGTGGTACCTCTGGTGTTGCACCATGTCTGAGTGTGCATACATGGCTACCAGCACAAGCCGAGGATCCTTGTTCATGGTTATGCAAACAGTCTAGATTCTTCACCGTGGCTGAAACTCGGTGAGTTATTTGTTGAATCTGCTAATGTGTTTGTGAGACCAGTTGGGTTGACCAACTATAACTCACCAACACATATAAACATAAGACACGTCCAATTATACATCTACC